CCCCCCATTTTTTGTAGTGCATAGACTAGTTTGTAATTAATGGCCCAACATGATTTCTAGTCCAAAAAGCAGCTGCCAAAGTATAACACTCTGTCCAGATGATGTGGCACTCAAAATCCTCTTCCAGGTTGCTCCTTTTCATCTCCTTTCTTTCACTTTCTCAGAAAGAATCAAATTCACATGTGTTACGGAAGGGAGGCAGCTTTTCTGAATAATGCATTTTGCTGTAGTGTTGTCCTTTTCTCTTCTGCTATCTTTGCCAATTTCTTTCTTGGCTGAACTTAGAAGTTTCTTCTGTCCAGTCACAGAAGAGAGAGTCTTCTCTTCCACCCCTTTATTTAATACCTCTGCTTTCACATTAATAGTGCCATAGCTTTTACTCTGACCATTGTGTTCAGAGATGTCTTGTAAAATGTACACTTGATTGCAGTCGTATGATGCAGTACCATCATGCAAAAGTATTGGTGTAAGAAAAAGCATAGCTGTACCTCTTTGCCTGAGGCCTTTTACTGGGAATGGCTTAATTTGAACCTTTTTTGTGTTAAAACCTCTTTTTACAGTAAAACGTGAAATCCTGCCGTCTTAAACTGAGTATAGTGAGGGGCTGTGAGGCTGCCAGACAGTGAATGACTTGAAATCTTACTTACGTTAGGACTCCACTAATTGGACTACAAGCAAGCATTATGAGGGAAAACAGTGGGGGTCATCTGCTACTGTGCTTCCATATTTATTATGCTGCTGTGTCAGTTGTGTGCATGCTGTCCAGTGTATAAAAACTCTTTTCTGTATGTGATAAACAGAGCAGCTACATTCAGGGGATGCATTCAGTCTCCAGGAATAAGAAATGCAGAGAAAGATATGCAAGGATATGAGAAGGGCACAGGACTGGGATAGATGCCTGCAGGATGTCTGCCAGGGAATTCTGGTTTTTGAGAACTTTTCCATTGAAGTGGCAAATATTTGCACAGAGAAATTTCAGTCATGTGCCACAGCTGGCAACATAATGGAGTCCAGCCGGCTTTTAGAATCTCTCTGTAGAATTAATTGGGTGGATCTGTTTCCAAGTCTCTTTCAGAGCAAATTAACAAAACTAATGTGGTGTTGCTGCCCAGTGTTCACAACAGCATCACTGGAAGGTGAGTCTGTGTTAAGCATCAATGCTATACTGAAGAGAGTGTGTGCATGTGCGTCTGCGCGCGTGCATGTGCGTGTGCGCGCGTGCATGAGTGCCACTGAAGATGGCAGTCCAAAATCTAAATTCTTATATCCCACTGTCCATATTCCTACTGTACATAAAAAGACTGGTCACCAACAGTGAGGCTTAGGAATAGCTGTCAGGTGTCTTTCCTTTGGTTAAACTAGGGTTTGAGATTTTGATGCTTTTTTCCTGTGTTCAGAAGTAGTTCAGGCCTTTTACTGAAGAGACACAGAGAGAACTTTTGTCCCCTGTTCCAGGAGTGCAGACAGGAGCTTGCTTGTTTGCAAAAAAGACAAATTATATTTGAAGAGAAATAATGGAGCAATACTGGGAGGAACTGGACCAAATGCTGCTTGGGCATATGAAAATGAAAGGCAGTGGTACTGAACAGGCATGTAATTGTGGCAGATTGTGAATGATAAATTCATTTTATGTTGGGGATGGTTGTCTTTTTGTGTGTATAAAAGATGACAAGAAGTTGTTTTGGGGTGTTCAGTTGCTGCCACAGTGCAATACAAATCTGTGTATACTGCAAAAAAACGATTCTGTGCATAGAAGTAGTTAATGTATAGATAATAATATAGTTTGTTAGAAAGTGTAGCATCAAACTAGGAAAGGGTTAAAACAGAATTGTGGAGTACCAATAGAAGGGAAATATATCTTGGAGCTGAAGTATTGTCATGGCAGGTTTGAAACACTCTTTTTAGTCCTTTGAGTCATGATTCAGACCAAGCGTTTGTTAGAAATTAAAGGGAAAACAAATGTTTGATTATGGAACAGAGAGAAGAATACAGCAGTGAAAAATGAAATAAAAAGATGGAGCAGAGAGCCGCTGACGTGCCAGTAAGACATAGCACAGGATAATGTGCAGAGTACTGCTGTAATTAGCACAGTCCACATGAGTCGCTGTATTTTGTGTGCATGTGGGTATGTATACACGTAGAGAGCACGTGGGAAAGAGCCAGTCTCAACTTGTATGTAGCCTGGGAAATGAGCATGCAGGACAGAACCAAATGATCTGCAAATAACTTTGACACACATTGTCAAAACATCTTCCACTGTCATCAACAAGGAGTCAGTTGTTCAACTTAGCAGGGCTGGTAGATATAGCGCAGACATTGTTTCAGCTGGCAGGTTTTTTACACCACATTGTTTAGAATTTATCCTGTGGGAGCTGAGTGAAAATATTAGTGCATATATCAATACCGGTGCATATCCTAGGGCTCCTAATTTTGCCAAAATGCTAGTCAGGTATTGGGGACTTTTTTCCCTGTTTCTGTGTTGAGAACCCTTTTGTGGCAGTGCAAATAGATGAGGGAGAACAGAAAGCTCTTTTTTTCCTGAAGAAAGACGTCTCCTTTCTGTAACTGCTCTGTTGTTTAATAGGATGTATCGGTTCTGCCAGATCCTGTATGATAAATACCTTTTCCAGTCTCATTGAAGAAAGGAACTCCATTAAAAAATACAACTGTGGGTTTGTGAGAGTGAGCAAATATGTGTGTGCGTGGGGGGGTGGGGGGAGAGAGACTCCCTCTACTCTGTAGCCACCATATCTTCATTGTATGATGCCGAGTGATTAGTAGAAAAGCTTTTAACAATAAATACTTTGTTTCTTTGTATCTCTTGCACTCTTGCACTAACCTTACGTGTCTTAACAAAGACAGGTACAGTTGGTTTCTTTCTGCTCCCGATAGTGTTCTCGAGTTTTTGGATTTCTGTTCACTTGTGTGCACACACACGCAGGGGCACACATATACAGGTTTTAATGGGACTTGGTAAAGGTGAGAACTGTTGCTCTTTAGATCTTTCTGACATGAATTTGCTTCTTCACTGGATTCCATCTTCAGCCATTTCCATACTAAGTGAGAAAGCCTTACTATTGGAGAGCTCTGGCTCCTCTCCAGGTCAGGTGCTTAGTCATTTGGAGTACATTTATCATTATCACTGTTATTCGTTACAGTCAACAAAAAAGTTGCAGCTGTGGCTAGAGCCTGGCTGCCGAGAGGTCTTGTAGGAATTATACAGCCGCCACCTAGACTATGGTAGGAATTATGTGGATACCACCTCAACAGGGCTCATCCTTAGGTTCCACTTTAATAAAAAAAGTCATAGTTCCTCCTTCTACTATGTTTAATATGCCATAGTAGTTACAGCTCGAGCTGTGTGCCTCTGCAGAGAGACCCTGCCTGTCAATTGTTACTGGATTTTATAGTCTCTATAAGTCGCTTGATTTCCTGATGGCACTTATGCTCACCCAGTCCTGTTCGCAGAGTCTGGAGTTGTCTTCTGATTTTCTCCCGCAGCCTCCAGACACCCTTTTTGTCTGTGTCTTGAGACATTTCCTTATCTTTTGTTACAGACTATCCTGTAGTTAAAGTTTTACTTCCTTATCAATCGGTTACATTTCCATAGATAAGAACAAAGGTTAAAGTACAATTCATATGGCCTAAGGCTTCATTTACTTTAGTCACTAGTGCTATGCTCTGGCACAAATTAGTCTCTCACTGCAGAGGAGCCTGGAGTAAGCTATGCAAACAGCTAGCAGCATTCCAACAGAGGTACTATACAGCCAATAATATTGGAAACTTTTGTCAGGATGAGCAAGCTGCAATTCAGCTCAGTGAAGAGGGTTGTTTCTGAGTTAAGGTGTCTTAGTCCAACAGACTGTCAAGAAAGAATGACATAAAGAAGTGGGGTGAGTAGAAGAGTAGAAAGACAGAAAGGGGAAAGGAAGACCTAGAATTATTTCAGCAACTCAGTGAAAGGGAATGCAGAACTAGTAACCTTTAGCTGAGAAGAAAGCAAACAGGCTTGAAAAAAAAAATTCCTAAATGTCTATATAGATATTCCACCTAGTGTGGGGAAAGTTCTATATGGAAGGTTGTCTAGGAAATCTCAGCAGCTGAGATTAACAAAAGTTAATTTTGTCTTTGGAAAAAAT